TTTGTATCTTCTTTAATTTAATATTGTCTAGATACGAAGACTAAATTTTTATAGATATAAAGAAATAAATAGGAAAAACATCAACTTGGTAGTCATATTCTGCCTCTAGGCTCTAATTCTAGTTCAGTCCTTGTTCTACCAAATTTTTCGGTCTGATGGGCGCTTTCTACAATAGTTCTGTGCACAGTTTTGACGCTTTTGAGATGTATTTCTCAAGAAGGACACTTAAAATAATATGTAAAATGATCAAAAATAGAGTGTTAAGACGTATTGACCGAGATCGAGACCTCCAAATTGAAAAAAATAATCGAAGTAGACGATCCAACTTCTCTACTGGAGTTTGATTACACTGTTCTTAGTGTTTCTCTTTTCTTTTCTCTCAGTTTTGGTTGAAGCCCATTAATTTTGCATTGGCAATCTAAAATCTGTTTACCTACTCAGCAAAATTTTATTAATATTAATCTCTCTATTTGATACAAATTTGCTTCAATCTAGTTATAATTAAAGAAAGCTAACGTGCAAAAGAGAATCAATAATTACAAAAGTTATGGCCAGTGTTATCTGAAACTTTTGTAATTTCACGACAAAATCGTTCCTTTTTTTATCTTAAGTCTGCTTTGAAATAGTTAAAAGAGATAAAATGGAAATAAACCAAGTTATACATAGAGTCAGTCCTTCAATGTTTGCAAATTATCAAAAAATATCTGTATGTGTAATGTGAGAAGGGTATGAGGCTTCATTAGGCCTATTGTGTGTCCTCCAGGAACATATTAAACCTGCCTCTCAACTTGTCAAAAACCTGCTGGTGTCACTTGGAGGTGCTTGCAGACAATCATCTTCATAGCTTATCTAAGTTCTGCAGGGTATCAACTTGCTGGTTCTCTGGGGGGATGTTTAGGCATAGTCAGACTTACAGGTCAAACTCCTGCAGGTAAATAATGTCGCCGACAGGTGTCTTTAGATGCCCCATATTTGGAAGTGGCCATTCGGTGAGCTTATACCACTGCGATGGTAGATGCCTAGGTAAAACAATTTTTTCCGTCCGCTCCACAGAGCAGTTATCGAAAAATGCTGGTGGTCTTGAAAACACAAATGTCAAATGAAAAATACAGCTCGCAATACTAACTAGAGAATGGTTTCCACTGAAATGAAAAGAGGAAATAAAACAATCTCTGAAAAATAAACAAATAAAAATAAATTAAAGGGGCATAATTACGAAAAATAGACAGATAGCAGAGGAATTAGCTGACAATAGTTGCGTAAAAACAACTTCCATTAGCTTCTTTATTGGAAGGCACATGTACTATTTGAACGTTTAAGCTTCCTAATCGCATTCCTTCATTAATCGCTTCACGGAGAGTGAGGAGGAAAGGGATACAAGTCAGGTAAGCAAGCCCTCAAAAGAGGCCGTTGCAGTGGCCAAGCACATTTGCAGTAGCAATCGGGCCGTGAACACTTTTGAATCGTTTAAATCTCCAGTATGGATGGAATATTTCCTGCCCTGCAGTCTGGAACAAGATCATGTTGAAGAGCCGGCCAATCAGCCTCACATACTTTGTATTAAACAGTGGAGAATCCTGGAGAAGATGCCACTCCGTAACTAGCACGCGTACCAAATAGGAAGATCTTCAGAAATTGCCCTGGTACAACTGACTGATGAAATCCAGGAGGTAATGACAAATAAAGAAACGGTCATGCCTTCTTAAACATAAAAGGAGCGTTTAACAACACGCCACACGAATCTGTCAATCAAGCACTCGCATACAGAGGAATAGATAGCACCGCATCCAGATGGATGGCTTAGCTGCTATTTACGAGAACTGCAGATACACAGATAGGACAGGACACTATCTCTATCTGCACAACGGGGCCTGACCACAAGGAGGAGTTCTATATCAATTAATATGGAGCCTAACCGTAGACGAACTTCTATGCAGAATGACTAACCTCGGCATACCTTGTCAAGATTATGCTGACGACATAGTCATATTTGCCAGAGATAAATTACGAAATGGCATGTGTAATATAGTCGAAAGAAGACTAGAATATACCAAAAGATAGTGCCAAGAGGTAAGACTTAGTATACACCCTACCAAAAAACACTAGTAGCCTTTTCAAAGAAAAAAATATAATTATCAAAACCTTCCAATTAGACGGAATAGATATAGAATGAAAAATTGAAGACAAATATCTAGGCGTAACCGTAGACAACAAACTTTTCTTAAATATACATACGAATGAAGTAGTAAATAAGGCCACAAAAGCTTTAATGGTATGCAGAAGCACTGTGGGTAAAAAGTGAGAATGTAGCCCTAACACACTGCGGTGGATGTATACAAGAGTAGTAAGACTAATTACATATGAGATTGTAGCCTGGAGTAACACAACTAGCTTAGCTACTACGAGAGCTAATATTTCAAACGTACAAAGGCTAGCCTGTCTTTGCATCATCGGTGCAATGAGAACCTGTTCTACGGTTGTAATGGAGATGATTTTAAACCTTAACCTTCTACATTTAATGAACTGAGCAAAAAGGAGAAGATATAGAATGATCCACAACGGAGCAATAAGACGAAAGTATATTAGCTTCAGGACCGAAGATACTTAGGATATGCCCCAGGATGAAATGAGAAAGAAGTTTAAAATCACAGGGCTAGGCTGCAAGAAAGAATAGAGCTAAGAATCCGTCGTGTTTGCAATCGAAAGACATGGTATACGGATGGTTTAAAAACCATATAAGGAACTGGAATATGAGTTTATGGGCCTAGAACTAGGCACTATGAAAGTTTGTGTAAATTTCAAAACTTCTTCCAGTCAACCAAGGCGACAGCTCTTTCTATCTAATATAAAACACGAACGGAATATTTGCAAGTAAACATTTACTTACTTAGCTTGTAGTTGTTCGTCGTATGTCTATTGATATATTTTTAATTGGGAATATTTTCTTTTTAGTTGTTAAGGACTACTTTAACTTCAGGGAATGGGAAAATTTACCATTTTTTCCTTGCCTTACTCTTTTATTTGTTAGTTCTCTTATTTCTCTGTAGTATAAATTGTCTATGCTTTCTCTTAAAATTTCTGGTGAGTTGTTCCACGACGCTTGCTGTATGTTAATCACAAATTTGTCCAGCTCGCCATATAGTTGTTATTTTGTTTTTACACAGAAAAAAAGGTGTACTATATTCTCGATTTGAAATTTTAGTAATACTTGTGTAACAATAGCTAATAAGCCTTGCTTCAAGATTAGAATCAACTTGCCCTAACTAAAATACCTCTAATTAAATGAATAGTATTTATTGCTCAATTGCAGTATTATGTACATCTTAAATGAAATAGTCTCACACTTTTTTCAAATATACTTTATTTATATTCAATAATACCTTGTTCTTAAATCCAATACAACTAAATTTGTTACAATAACAATATGATCTTTGACATAAATATATTGACTTTGGTTGAATTATAGGATAGTTTTATTGAAGAAATTAATAATCTTGTAATAAGAACAGGCTCTTCTTGCTTTTTAATAGAGTTTTCACTGGTACCTATCCACAGAAAAACATTTTTCAAAATTGTTTTTAGTTAATGTACCAAATTCCTCTGTCTTCTGTGGTGTCCCACCTATAATTAAAAAAAAAACAATTTTATAACTACAAAACCTAAATGCAACATAAAAGTTTGTCCTGCTAAGATAAGAGGTCGTATCTACAAAATGAACATTTTTAGTAAATGTGGGTAGGTAGATAATTACGTCCTTCTAGACTTCGCAAATAAGTTTTGCATATTTTACTAATCTTTTTTTATAATTATAGTAAATATTTTCTAATACAAATAGGCCTTTAGTATTTTGTGTCATAATAAAATAAAATGTAAGCTTATTAAATTTGTAAGAATCTTGAAATCGGAATATTCGTAGATACGACCTCTTGTCTTAGCAAGGCAGAAGTCGTCTTTCCAAAAAGTCGTCATCCAGCATCATAAATTTTTTTTATTTCTATTCCAATTTGTTTCATGTTCTTATGATTACAAATTTACTTATATATAATAATACCTAAAAAGAAGTGAACTAAATATACTTACATTTAAATATTGGTATCAGGTCGCTGAGGCCCTATTAATCTAACAAATCTTCCATTCTAATTTAATTTATTCATACACTTATTAATTGAATCACAAAGAATTTCTAACAAAAAGAAAAACGCATCCCTAACAATACGATGCAAACATGTTAGAAAATGGACAATAGGATGAACACGTGCTAATGCCAATTTGCCAGATTCTCTATAAATGCGTTGTGTCTCTGACTTACGAAAAATAAGTATCACATCTCAATATGTGCTAGTCATATATCTACCGAATCAGTGCAGTGGTTGCATTTTAAAATAAGTTTCAGTTAGCAACACCGTGCAGTGAATTTGTATTCGCTAATCTTTTGTGAAGTACATAGGTTTTTGATTCGAATTGTTTAATTCTTGTTCTGAAATGAGCATATCATACTTACAATAAACGTAAGAGATTTCTTGGATTAATTCACAATTCTATATTCGAATGAAATAATTTATTCTCAGATTAATTATTTTAAATTTTAAAATACAACATTATGCCTGTACATCACTCAACATTTATTTTCTTATTGTATCGAAAAATATTATTTAAAGCAAACTCTGCTTTATTTCAAACAAATGTAATCTTCCAAGTGTAAAGCGTTTCTTAATTGTTTTCTGTGTAGTTCAATTATATTCTACAAAAGTGAGTAATACAAAAAATATATTTTTTCCTGTATGTACACAAAGAAATGAATCTGAAGAAAGATTCATGAAACATTCAAAATTTGAAAAAATCTTTAATTACCCTAGCACGCCACTGGTGCCTTATCTATGTCCATCTAAGCAGACCCTGCCCAAGATAGTGTTTAAAAAAATCTTAAAGAGTAAAATATAAATTTTACACGAAAGAAGCACTCGCATGGAATTTATAATCGGTGTATGCAAAAATACCCACCCGGTTGGAAGGCCCGTTTTTATTTTAGTGGGGGGATATTGGTAATAATATAAAACATCTTTGAAAGCTTGCAGAAAGGGCATTGCTATTTTTTCCGTAAAAAAATGAGTTTCGTGAGTTTTTTGTGGGTTTCCAGTGCATTTATATTGGCTCGATGCGCGGGATTGCCTAAAAAAGGTAAGATTTACCTAATATATCAAATTAAAATTATGTTCACTCAAAAAATGTTATTAGTAAATGAAACAAAAATGATAATAATAAAAATTTTATTTGGTCAATCTAATATTCTCTTAAATTGACATAAACAGTTTTGTTAGTTATCCACTTTTAAGAAAACCTAATAAATATAATGACTTTTCTGTTACTATAATAGTATTAGTAGGATGTGTTATAAGGACAAAGAGTTAATTTTTTTCAGGCGATTACGAAAAGTCTGGCTAAGAACACTTTTCGTCCATGTTTCATACATTATTTTCGAATGTACTTATAGATAATAAATCTAAAATTATAGAGGAAGTGGGCCAAATATGGAATACCGTTTTGATTTCTACATTAAATTCAGTGTGTCTTCCTTAACACACTTTTTTCTGAATTGTCGACCAAAATATGGTCAGTTCGGTTATTCTAGTAGGTTCTGAAATTCCTGTTGTATGATTTTAAACTGAATCTCCCTGTATAGTTACAAGAATGGAGCAATTGAAAATAAAATGATTACTTTAACTCCTGCATATCGAATTTTCAGAAAATTCTGTCGGTGTGGAAAAATCCATTAAAGATGTAAGCTATCCTTTATTGTGAAGTTTCAAATAAGGTTTTAATATCCAAGTTAGCAGGTAGGCGATTTGTTTTTATAAAGTCTTTTGCCTGGAAGTTAAAATTGTCATGACTTTATAGTTATAGCTAATTAGACTGATATTTTCATATAATATAGGTAATTCTTTGGGCTACATCCAGGCAGGCCCGCGCCTAGCACTTTTGGTGCCCTTATGCAAATTTAAAATAACCCCCTAAATTTGTATTGCGTTCATATGTGAGTACAGATATGGGTTAAGTTGAGTATTATTATCCACTATTGAAAAATAATAATTTTAAAAATTATTTTCATAAATTTATTTTCATTTTTATATTTTACAAATACAAGCTATACAAGTATTTTCTCATGGAGGTACATAACATAATTATAAACTTATAGAAAACAGAAATATATTCTAACAGTATTACAACTCAAAAATACAAAAGCACAAGAAAAAAATATTTAAAACATTAAAATTATTCGTTTATATATCACAGGACGAAACTGATAGACAAATAAAAACAAAATAATATATTATTTTAATAATGCAACATATTACCTTTAAAGGTTAATACAGGGTGTTTCATTGGGAAAGAGCCTAACTTTAACTATAGCTGGGGATCACTTTGGTGTTTCCAAAATCCTATATTTAATGTGTCTCCTGCACTTTATAACCGAGATACAGGGTGTTTTATAAATTTATCCTATATCTTTCGAACCTCATAACTTCCGAGTTACCCTATATATTATTTTGAAATTTGAAACATGTAATAACCATTACCTAGAAACTCCATCAAAAGCATCTTCAAAAAGATAATGCAGGTCCGGCTTAACAAAAAATGTAAAAACTTGTCTTTCCTAAAAACAACACCCTGTATATAGATTTTTTTAAAATTGCTCTTTATAATTGGAAAAAGTATAAAAAATCGAATCTACTTATTTCCTTTTTATTTTTCCGCAGACAATTTTACTACCAAAAATTTACCGTCAAAGTTATAATTTATGCACGTTTTGGGGATTAACAATGGTATCGGAGAGGTTTTTTTTACTTTTTAGCTTAAAATGAAATCTATTTAATGCATCTAGAGAAGCATCCTAGAAATTCAATTGAGTTTGTATGTTTACGAGTACAGACCAATAAAAAATGTGATTACAGGACCGTACTTAGGACATACTCATTCAATAATATGTTTCGAATATTTCGAACACCCTGTATAAGGATATGTATCTGGAAACTATGCACTTTTACATTTAGAATAATAAAAGTAAAATACGAGAAATAAATTTATACTTCAAAAAACGCATAGATTTTTATTAATTTTATTAATTGACATGAAAAGAGTACAAGAAATTCTAACATTATCCAAACGAAGCAAGTCTAACCTACAAAAATTGCTCAAAATGATCTACATTCTGCTCTATGCACTTTCTTGCCCTTTTTGTAATATTCTCTGCCCAAATGTGCGAGTTCCGTAAATTATAAACGCCGTCTCTTGTAAATTGAGCTTCATCCGTGAATAGAACTCTATTTAAAATTCTTGCATTTCAAATGATCCAATGGCTAAAATTCATTCGTAGAATTTCGTCCCATGCTTGAAGTCGCTGTACTTCTTGTATATGAAATGGATAAAGATTATGTTTTTTTAGTCGCCGCCTTAGATTATATAAACCTTAGATGGAACATAAGACACTGCGCATAATCCCATTTCGAAATTATTCACACCCACCAATCACAGTTGAGAACATCACATGTCAGAGCGTTGTCCATCCAAATTTAATGTGTCAACGAGAATTAATTTGGTATTTTAGTGACTTAAATTTTGGAAGTTAACGTTTAAAATGCCAAGATGTGTTGTAGAAAGCTTTATTTATAATAAAAGTGCGAAATGTGACGGAGATAAAAGAAACTTATATTTATTTCGGTGAGATATTTAATTTTTAAAGATTCTGTCGACGTCCATATTTGTTGATTTGAAAATAAACAGAATCGGACTTGGTCATTGGTACATGTTATAAGTAGCAAATAAAGGTTATTTTTATAAACTGTTTACTATTTCTTGTTTCATGGTGAATCTGTTTTCAGGAAGTGGAAAGAGAAACATACAATCAAATACAAAAATATCAATTTCATTGCCAATTTATTCGTTTCAAACTTCACAACTGGTTTCAATAGTTTTTTCAAAACTATTTATTTAGTATTTCTCTATAACAGGGTTACTCAAAGTGTGCTCCGTGGAGCCCTGGGGCTCCGCAAAGCCTTTGTGAGGACTCCGCGAAGAAAATAATCATAATAAAAAAAACAGTACTATCCCAAAATGGAGGAATCTGTCTTGAGGGCCTTTTTTTTTAAAAACTAATTTTTTTAAGTCACTAAGAGGAAGGAGGATATGATTTTGCTTTAGGACTTTTATTTTATTTTTATGGGTGAAATGGATTTGAGATAATTCTTGCAAGGAATCTTTGGAATTAATCAAAAATAAATTAACAACAAATTATGTTCTTATGCATTTTCAGCCTGAGTTGCCGATTAAATTAATCGTAGATGCATCAAATGTGGGAATAAGGGCCAAATGTCATTTTAAAAAAAAAAAAAAATTGAGAAATCTATAGCTTCTGCATCGCGTACCTTATCAAAGTCAGAACAAAAATATTCCCAAATTGAAAGAGAGGGCCTTCCAATAATTTTTGGCTTAAATAAATTTAATGAATATTCATATAGACATTTATTCATCCTAGTTACAGATTACTTACCTCTGGTAACTATTTTTAACCCAGCTAAAGGTATACCCCAATTTTCAGCCAACGGACTACGTAGATGGGCAGTAATATTGTCAAATTACAATTATAAAATTGAATAATATGTAAAATCGGAGCATAATACGAAGCCGATTTTTTATCACGTTTACCTTGAAAGTCAAAATGAGAGTCAAATTGAAGAAAAAAATTTGAAAAATATTTTTTAAATTATGTGTTTAATTTGTTGAGGGCCCCGTCAAATATTTCGCTTTTCAAAAAGGTTCCGTCCCCAAAAAAGTTTTGAGAAACACTGCTCTATAATAATATATTTAATTACATTTTATTTTCTTTAATTTTGATAAAGTAATATATTTTATAAAGTAGAACATTATGCAACTGATTACGAAAAGTTGATTATGTCACCAGTTACGAAATGAAAATAAATAAAACTGCCCCTTTTTTGGTTTTTAAGTCGAAAAATCGAGAAATCGAGTAATCGAAAAATCTAAAAATCGAAAAATCCAAAAAACCAAAAATCGAAAAACAAATTTTGAAAAAAAGGCCGAACACCGTTATTGAAAACTGCCCAGAAATGTTGGGGGTAAAATTTTGACGTACTCCTTTAAGGATGATAATGGGTAAAAATGTTTTTTTTCAAATTTCTCGCGGGTAATGTCAAAAATCAGATCGACAACACTGCACATGTTCCTTATTTTTATTATTATTGAAAAAAAAAAAAACGTCGTAGGGCAATCAAATACAACAATTTTCTGAAATATTTGATTGGAAGTACCTACAAAAGAATGTTGGTGAATTATTTTTCAACACAATTTTATAAATAATCAAGACAAAATTAGAAAAAATCTTGTATGTAAACACGTTACCAAATGCCGTTTTGTGTAACTCGTTCATTTTGCAGGACCTCGCTTCGCTCGTCCCGCAAATATTTACTCGATACACAAAATAAGGCATTTCGTAACTGGGTTACATAAATAGCTATTAATTGACTTCCCAATATTTTAAATCATTGAACGGTATTTTCCGTAAATAATTAAATCATAAATAATTACCGGTATATAAGTACCAAAACATTTTTTTTTTTCTTCGAAGAATAGGCTTATGTCAAAAAAACTTAAAACATAACGAACGAAAAGGTAACCCATTTCTAATAAAATTTAATTATTTATTTTATTTTGGTGTGATCGTAGAAAAAATCTTGTGTGTAATTCGGCAAAAAGTACTTTGGCTGTTTCGATAACTTTTTGTCTCAACAGGTATTTTGTTACAATAATTTTATAAACTTCTACTTAGGGTCGATTTCACGGTTTTGTTAAACGAAGTTTAAAATACTAAACGAAGATTACAATGACATTTTTATATTAACAAAAATAAAGTTTAAATTACTAAATGGAGTTTAAAATGACATTTTTACATTAACAATGTCATTTTAATCTTCACTTAGTAATTTAAACTTCGTTTGACACAACGGTGGAATCGCCCCTTAGCTAGTTATATATTGATAAAGTGTTATTGCCCTCATCATAAATAAATCGTGCTGACAAATAAAGTCAAAAAAACGTGTTATAATTTTTCATCTTTTAGTTACCTACCAAAATTAGGCACTACAATACAAATATTTAAGTCCGGC